GTGCTTTTTTTCAGCTAAAATGCTCCTCTTCAGAACAGACAAGTGATATTTTTTTATCTGCCTTTAAATCAGCCTTTTTCCACCTTTTCAACACTGAGGAAACCTTGAAATAACTTTCTGGTCTCAGGGAACCCCTGCTTAAAATGACAATATTTACAACTCATGATACTTTAGCGTGAAGGTCAGTGGGAATAACGATCCTTACACTTGTGGTCAATGGGAAGAATTACCCCCTTACAGATAGCTAAAGAGATCAGTGGTGTCTATGGGAACTTATCTGAGAGGCAGAAATTGCTCATTGCTCAAGGAACCCCTAGCAACCTCTGGAGGAACCTTCGCATTCCAAGGGACCCTGGTTGAGAAACCCTGATCTAAATGCTCCTGCTTTAAAATGCCTGTAATGCCAGACAGGCACACCTCACCATCATTCAGTGAAAATGGTCTGCTTAAACCTGTTTTTCTTGTTTATATACATTTGGTTATATCTGGCTCTAGGCAACTCCACACTGCATTAATCTTTAAGGAACAAAGGGCCACATACTGATGATATCACTTCCTTCAGCACAAACAGTACATCTTGCTCACGTCCACCTGAAGGATCATCCATCTAATATGTTTCAACCTTCACGTCATAGAGATGGAGTCAGGCCAGGGAGGAAATGTTTATATTCAATCATACTGTACATGTTTTAGCAACTATTCGCATTTCATATACACATGTAACAACCAACTATCTCTGTACATATAGAAAATCCAATAATAAGGTACTGTATACTTAGCATACTTGTACATACTGTAAAAAAAATGCAAAGGACCAAAACAAAAATAACGATCTATTAATTCCTCTTGCCTTTTCAATATTTATACAATATAAGGAGTTTGTCACAAAAAACACCTTTAACTCTCATCATTGAAAATCTTTCAACCATATAATAATCCCTAAAGCTCATTAAAAAGTCCCTAAGCATAGACTAGTGAGATTTCAGGCTTGAACAAACTTGAACAGACTCAACCATTTAGTATTTAAAGTGATACTAAAGACACACGGTTTAATTGACATTATCCCCTCTCTTCCTGTATGTGGAAAATAGAACTGTATTATTTTATAAAAAAAAAATTAAGTAACTTCTTTCCTTTGTGATACACAGCTGTCACATGACCCAGCTCTTTCCCAGCCTGTCTGCAGGGAAACATAAGCAGGAGGAGCTTCTTGCCCTCTGCTGCTGGTCACATGTTAAAAAAAAGCCTTTGTGATACAGAGAAAAAATAATTAATATCAATAAAATGAAACCAGAACTGGTTTCAGACAAAGCACTGGAGAGTACTGAACTGGCCAGCAATGAGTCCAGATCTCAATCCCATAGAGCACCTGTGGAGAGATCTCAAGACAGCAGTTGGGAAAAGGAACCATTGCAATCCGATAGACCTGGAGCAGATGGCGGAAGAAGAGTGATCCAAAATTCTGTCAGAGAGGTGTAAAAAACTAAACGATGGTTACAGAATTGATTTCAGGGTTTTTTTCCAAGAGGTGTGCTACCGAATATTATTTTGAGGGTGCCGATAATTTTGTCCAGTCCAGTTCTGGAGTTTTGCATGGAATGTGTCAGATTTGTGTTTTTTGTTTCTTCACTTTTTTGCTTCATATTTATACAAACAAATGAAATAAACATGAGAATGCCTAAACATTTGTGATTGTAATAATTTTCTGGGCAAATTGATGCATTATCTGACAGAAATGCAAGGGTGCCAATATATTTGGCCATGACTGTAGTCTTTGAAGGGAATCAGCAAGTCAGCAATGTTTATATTTCATACGATTTCATTTTCAAATTTGATTTGAATGTGATTCAAATTTTGGACCAAATTTTGTTTTGCTATTTCAGATTTGTTAAATTTTTTTACTGTTGTAATTTGAAAATTTGAATACATCCAAATCTCTGAATAATGAAAACTTTTTTGGATACATTTCCATTGTATTCTATTATGGTATACATGCCCATGATCCCTAGGTACTCATCTCAACATACAATTGAATTTGCATATGGGCAAAAAAAGGTCGTTTAATTGCTGCATTGCTTGTAATGGAAAAAAGGCCAACCCCTGTGTGAACAGAATCAGATTTCATCAAGTTCTTTAATCACCATCTAGAGTGTCTGAATATCTTTGTTCAATGCAAAATAGAAATTCTCAATTCGCCATTCCTAGTCTGTTATGTAAACTCATTTACTTTACTCTTATTTCCAGAGAGAGAAGGTTTAAGAGGAATCTGCGTTCTAATAACTGAACTATTTGGACCTGATATAATCAGACTGTAAGTGTTTTTATTATTACTCAAACCTGAGTACTATAGGACCAACTTTGTTCTGCTTCGTTCTGTAGGAATTTAAGCATTTGTCTTTTTGTTCTTTCGTTAAGCCTGGTTTGATTGTGTTTTTGTTTTCGCAATTAATGTTTCAACATTTGAAATTTGCTCATCTTCCCCTACTTGAACATGTGCAGAATTTGCTGATTATACTCTAAATGTAAAATCTATTTCCTTATTTTATCATTAGAACCTAGTGCTTAAAAACTCCAACCCATTCCTAGCATGAACTTTAATGAACTAGGTCCCCATTTTCATGGGGTTGAATTAAAAGCAATGAATGGGGAATATCCCTGTAGCAAAGTGAATGTTCTCTTTGCAAAGTGAATGTTAGTAAACAAGGTGAACCTGTGTTCACTTTGAATAACCAATGATGTGGAAGACATTAAAACACGGGGTTTTTACTACAAATGATTGGGAATTCAAAGTGAACAGGGTTAACCTAAAACACTGAACCCAAGGGCAAGCAAATATTGTCTACGTATGATAGGCATGTGTGTTCTTATCTTACCTTGGTGCATTTTGGTGGATTGGGGGCTTACAAAAACTGGTGCACACTCAATCTGGTGCAGCTGTGCATAGTAACCGGTCAGCTTCTGGGTTTTATTGTCAAGCTGAAGTTAGATGCTGATTATTTATTATGCATGGCTGCACCAAATTCTGTGTGCACCAGTTTTAGTATATCTTCCAGATATGTGCAGAAATCTAGAGTGAAATTTTACCTTTGTACACAAGCTTCCTGTGTATTAAAGACCAGTCTCTGCAGCTCTCACTCCTTGTGCAGGATGACTGGTCTTGTATCCACCCCCCTTCACTAGTTTTCTGCAGGAAGCTTGTAGTGGGTGGCAGCAGGATTCCCTCCCACAGATATGCTTTCTGTACAGGCTGTGTGCATCAGAATGATGATGTCACTGCTACTTTTACAAGGTAATACCCGATTTCACAAAGGCATTTGGTGCACACAGTGTGGTTTTATATTTTGTGTGGCTATTATGGAATATACAGGTATTTAGATGAAAGTTTTGTGCCTGCAGTTCTGTTTGGATTCAGCCTTTGGTAAATCAACCCCATTATGCTTCCCATGTCAATAACTGTCACCAGGATCCTAGTGTGAGAGGCACAGTCCTCAGTAAGCTTAAATGATGAAATATTTTTAGAGTGCAATATTTATTTATTGTATCACTGGCATTTCTTTTTAGCATAACGGAAGCATGAACAGTGTCCCAAAACAGCCCTGGCCTGGAATGGCTTATGTGCTCATTACTTATCTTTGAAATGTCATAATGACATAGTGGAGGAAAAGCCCACAACATGTGTGCAGACTAGAGAGAATGTTCCTATTTAAAATAAGGTTTAGTTAAAGAAAGTTACAAAAGGTAACAGATATTTTTAGTTAAGCTTAGTAGACTGCTAGTGTATAGGTAAATGTGTTTTTTGATTTTCCTGTAGCCAGGGGAGCAGTGATAATTTGTTTGTTTGTGTCTGTTCTAGGTTCTGCTCGCGCAGGCTCAGCTACTATCTGCTGTGTCCCACTGAATTCTGGGATATAGTGGGTGAGAGAGTTTGCCTATTCATGCTTTCTCAGCCAATCCCTGCTCGGGAGAGTAATTAACCAGCAGGGGCTGAGAGGGGTATAAATATACTGGAGCATAGAACAGAGCCCTCTTGTTCCTGGGGAGCAAGACCCAGCCTGCTGGCTAAGGCACCCTTGAGTGGTCAGTGACAGTATTGAAGAAATCCTTTTGGGTTCCCAGTTTCAGTTCGGGGACCTCCATCCAGATCATCTTAAGGCAGTGCAGAAAGCTCTACAGGGGATTCAGGCCACAGGCACCAAGTACAGAGACTGACTGGTACTACAGGAGGCATTACAGTACCCAGAGCACAGTGCATACTAGACTTAAGGATCACAAAGACTTTCCCTGACACTTTTAGGAGATCATTACAGTTTATTCAGGACTTTACTCCTGTTGAGGAGTTCCTGCTTTGAAGTTCCATTAACCCTTCAGGTTCAAGAGGTGTCTTATAACCTAAGGGAGCAGATCATTTTTAGTGTCCTCTATTGCATCTTTGCTAGCTGTTTTAGGAGTATCCCAATGTGCATCCTCACCCTATCTATGTTTTAATCAGCAAATAAATTGCAAAAAGACAAGCATGGCCTGTTTCCTGACTTGAGTGGCTGTGAACTACCATGTGACTGGCTGCTATGTGCCTATCAGATAGCAGAGCCTGGGATTAAATAGCCAGTCTAGTCTGGGGTATTTGCTACATGAGGCTCTTTGGATATAATCCAGTAAAGGCCTGGATATTGAGATTGTTGACCTCTAAGTTAGCATGTTGCTTTTTTTTCATTGTAAAAAATTCAAAGGCCACTGTATGTGTCATTGTTATACTTCTGATATTTAAAATACATTATTGGGGGACTGAGAGAGCTTCATGTTACAGTATGTGTTTTCTAAAATGCAGAACTTTCTTGGAAATTCCATCTGTCATAAATCATAATGTGTATCCTTAAACCAGATGTCCTAAAATCAAAAGAGCAAACTACTTTGTAAAACGTTTGTCTGTATTACCCTTCTTTTCAGACTAAATTACAAACTGAATGCTGATGTCATTTGCCATTCTATGAAATTATGTAAAACTGATTCACACCAGTCAGTCTGTCACCTGTACAAGGAACCAGAGGTAAGGCACTGCTTAAAGTGTGTGCAAACCCTAACCCTAACTTAATGGCCTACTTTTAGTCTGTTAAATATACAGTGTTTTGTTTTATTTGTTTGATATATGCAGACATCTTATGAGCTTGTGGTTTGTTGTGCATCTTGCCTCTACTGCACTTAAATATCAAGCAGTATTATCAAACCAGCCCAGTTCATCTTTGTGGTCTACAGAAGATAAAAAGATAGGGAGGAGCTCTGCAGTCCAATCAGATATGATTTGGGACAATGCAAGTGAACATTGCCAATCTAGGGGGAAAAAAGTGTGCTCCTGACAGGGTCATCAGGTCAAAAATAAACATAAAAAACTGAAAATTAAAGGCTGCCATGTATGTATCAAACTTTGGCTGATTCTTGCTGAATCGTCCTAAATTTGAGCTTTAAGTGAACTTGTTGGCACGACCCAGCTTGACAAAAGTAATTTTTTATTTGACGTTTGTTGAAGAAGCCAGGAGGAAAATTATCTGCCGAACAGTGACTGCGTCCAATCAGATGTAGTCACTGCTCAGGTATTCTGACAGCTGTGGGAGCTGTTTAACCTGGTAGGATAAATCTATTAGATTTCTCTTGTTCAGACCAAGGGCACATTATTGTGAAACTAGAATGTAAATTGCAAAACCTAGATTTAATGTCCAGGGTTTTCTTTCTTTCACTCATTCTAAAGGATAATTTGTAGGAGTTAAATTTTGCAGATTTAGCAGGGACTGGCTGAGATTTGGTCCATGTATGGGTAGGCTGATTGTACCCAAGTTGACCCATCGATTACCTTTGATTACTGCCAGGGGCTATAGCCTGGTGGAAGCAAAGAAAATTGATTCAACTATGGCTTGCGTTATTGGTTATTCTTCTTGATTTGCAGAGCTGAGATCAGGGGTTTCATATCACAGACAATCCATAGGGGGTCTTATGTTTAATCAATCTTTTTGCAGATTTTCTCTTTCTTTTATTGTGTTATTAATTGTTTTGTAAGTTACATCTCTCACATTTATCTACCACACATTTTCTCCCATATATTGAACCTTTTAATGAAACGACTTATATTTTAATACATTGTTTGTACACATTCCAGCTTTGGCGATTTTCAACCCCACCCTCCTTTGAACCACAAGCATTCTTTCTTCAATGTTAGATTGCACCCAGGGGCGGACTGACAACTCATGGGGCCCCCAGGCAATAGGGGATCATGGGGCCCCTGTGTCCTTTCCCACACTCAAAGCACACCCAAAAAAGCCTATAAAAGGTACCAGGGGCATTTCATGGGGCCCCCTACTGACCCCGGGCCCTCGGGCAGTGCCCGAGTGCTCGAATTGTCAGTCCGCCCCCGATCACACCATATCTTCATTCTTTGTGATCTGATCACACAAAAAGCATGTGGAAAAGTGTAGAAGTTAGGCTGTTGTTGCACATCTATTTATGTAGTTCCACCAATGCAAATAAAAGGGCAGAACAATTTCTGCATGGTTTCTTTTTTTTACGGCTTTTGAGTTTGAAGATCCAGCAGGGAAAATGGATTCCCCTTGGCAGGTTAATCTATGGTGTGAAGATCTTATCTAAGGATTATGATCTGAAGACCCCGAAATAATATAATAAGCTAGACCAATAAGATGGAAACCACATTTCCAAACTCTGGACTTTTAAAGATCTGTACTAAAGGTGAGGCAACACAATTAGATAATATAAAAAGAGAATTTTATTGCAAGATTCAGTTTATAAAATTGAGGACCTCAAGGACCATTGTGAAGCAATATATTCAATATCTCAAAACACATCTAAAAAGCTTGTAAATTTCCAAGATAGATGTTGACGTCTATACTGATGCATTTTGCAGTTAACAATATAATAAGCTGTTAGTGAGTTCAACTTTGTGGCAAAATAATTAGAAACTGTCACGTTTTACTGCTTTCTGTGGCCCTTTTGGAAACAACCCCCTAATGTGTGCAAGAGTAACAACCTTGTCCCCAAAACAGAAAGTGAGGAAATATCCCCAAGCACAAAGACAACAATAAAACATTTTTGTAAAAGAAGGCTAGAACCCCCAGCAGGTTTTTGTCCTCATTTTTTTTACCTAACTTCTTATTATGGCCAAAATGTAGTCACTGGCACAGGAAGTAAAAGGAAATCAAATCAATGAAGCCTATGACTAGAATATACATCTAAAAGGGGGTCTAGCCCTTTTCCGCTGTGTCAACAATTGGCTGGTGTTATATTGTAGTCTCTGCGAACTTCAAAAAAAACCTAACACTATCCAGCTTTGTCTTGCTGCAATCCATTGTTTGGTTGACATGGACCGGGTCCACGCTACTATCCTGGTCCTCTACAGCTGCTGGCCTCTTCTGAGTTCAAGCAGCCAGCTCCTTATGACGTGCCAGGCCCACCTCAAGCCACTCTTTGCCTGATCCTGCAGCCTCCTGGAAGATGTGATGTATCCCAGGAGGCTGCAGGACCAAGGACATGTAATTTTGGCCTATGCCAGAATGGTGTTGGGGGTGGGGCCAAGTGAAAAAAATAACAAAAAATAAACAGACATGAAAAAAAAAACAGCAATCTACTTGTGCAGCACATGAGACTTTCAACGGAATAAACTCCCATTTGGTAGTTAGGTTCTGCTTTAATTAGCACATTTGTCATAACGGAATTTCTAGTATGTAGTCCAATAGTTTTGTAAGAGCAACAGATTCATTAATTTCACCTCCAATAAATCATTTACGACATCCAATCTTTTTTTTTTGCATCATTTGCTTGCCTTCATGCTTTCCCTTACCTTGTGCTGAAAAATAGCTTACATAGTGTAAATAAGTTATTCTACAATTTTATTTCAGAAAATAATTTCCTAAATAAACATTGTTCTATATGACTTGATAAATCATGCCTGCGTGTATCCATATTTCTACAGAGAATATGACATCTAACAGATAACACACATTTGATGAATCATCTTGAAACTGTTTAAAAATGGAATGTTAGGATGTTACAAAAGCAACTAGTTCAGAATGTTCTGTATCTTAAAAGTAATGCAAATTGTAGAGTCCGTGGAAGCATAAGGAACTTACATAGAGATGTACCGATCAATAATGAAATACAGACACTCAGATAGATTCAACAGCATCCTGTTCTCCTGGTAACTAAGTACTCTGGGTGCTAAGGTACACATTTTTTGTGCCAGTATGGATGTTAATGCCAGGTAATTGTTCCCTGCATTTGTGGTCTTACTGCTTGACAAATAGTGCACTGATGGAAAATAACACAGTTTGTCATTTTTAAATTGTCTAGCTCAAAGTTTCGAAAAAAGGATTTTTAAACTTCACTCACGGGAAATAGAAATGTCTTTAACTTTAAGGTAGATTTGAACATAACATTATATAAAGAAAATAAACTTTCTATTTGGAAAGTTTTTTACTGTTTTTTAGGCTAAAGAGATTTTACCTTACTAAGGCTAAGTTCACACTAGCTTTGTTAGCAGGCGTTAGACAGACTTTTGGGAAGCGTTTTTAAAGCTCCTCAAACGCCTAGGAAAATTCTACACATGGCAGCACACAGTGCTTTTTTTTTCTTCGCACTGAAGTGTTAGCGTTGCAGCAAAATTGACACCTCATATCCAGTCAGGAGGAGTTGAAGCCTCCCATTTAAGTCTATGGTGATGCTGCTCAAACGCCTGGCAGGCATTTGCGAAGCTTTCGCGAGGCATTTGCGGAACATTAATACCATTAAACTTCAATATAGGCATTTGTGGTGTGGTTTTAATGCTTGGAAAACGCCTATCAAATGCCTCAAAAATACGCATAGGGTGTTTGGGGAACGTTTGAGGAGCATTAAAAATGCTTCCCAAATACCTGTCTAACGCCTGTCAAACGCTATAGGGGTTTATGGCAAAATTTTGAAATGAATCAAGTGTGAACGAGACTTTACTGTCATGGTGACAATGGTTTCCCCTCACTTCCTGTCTGGTGAAACTGTTGTCACCAGCACTGTAAATGAGAGGACATCAAGGGTCTTCAAAATACTGCCCATGGGCTCAATTTATCCAGCCTCCCCAGCTAGGGTTAATGGCATATCCTCAAAGTGCATGGTTTGATGTTGCCTATGGTTTCTGCATTGATGGGGACTCTGATATAAGGGGAACTCTGACGGGGACCTTGATGTAGGGAGACATTCTGATGGGACCCTAATGTGAGGGTAAACTCTGACGAAGACCCTGATGTAAGGAGGCACCTGATGGGGGCCCTGATGTAAGGAGGCACTCTGATGGGGACCCTGATATAAGGAGGCACTCTGATGGAGATCCTCATATAAGGAGAATTATAATGAAGACCCTGATGTAAGGGGGGGACACAGATGGGGACCCTGATGTAAGGGGGCACTCTGAAGGGGACCCTCATGTAAGGGTGGACACTGGTGGACACCTGGATGTAAGCAGGGACTCTTATGAAAGGGGACTCTTGTGGGAATTTTTTTCAGTCCATGAATATTTGTAAAATATATGATGCTGCCGTCGTACTGAAAAGTGTTGAGACCCATGGTCTAAGAGAACCCTGGACAGCACTAAAACACAACAGGGGTTCTAATCCTTTCTCACTCCATCCAAAACTTAAAAAGCAAGTTTTAGCTGGCCATACAATTGGTGCAGCTTTGATGATTTTTTTCTCTGTCCACTATTTCATGTATTCCAATTGCTTCTATTAAAACCCCAGTGTTAAACTAATAACCACATGCTCTTAAATATTTCTGTTCTCAAATAAACAAGAATGTTACATATGCTGATAAAATTAAGAAGGGGAACAAAGACATAAAGCTAGTTTTTATTGGTAAGCAATGTAAAGAGAATGCTTACTACTGTTTGTAGAATTGCATGGGGATTAGTTTAACCCCAGACACAACATCCTAGCATTACTGTCAGCCATCTGCTTTGCAAGCTGTAGTTTCATCAATCATAACAATATTGAGTCTCATTATGCCCACAGGTTTTAATGTAATTCTAGACAGGACACATCTGCAGTAGTACTTCAAGTCAAAGTATATTCATATAAAATAGGACAATCAATGTAAGTTATGTGAAATACAAGAAGATAAATAACAAAGTAATACCCTATGGACATTGTGTAATGGGTACTTTTCTGAAATAAATATGGATTTACAGCAATAATCAATATTTTATACAAGTTTAGCTGCTGTTGTTTCAGTTTATGGAAGAAGAGAGAAAAAGTGAAATTAAGAAAAAAACTTTGCTTTATATAATAAACTACAAACAAAGGAATATTTGCTTATGTATTAAATCGATACATTTTATTTGAAATCAAGAGGAAAAATATGAACTCACTAGCATGTGATATGGTCAACCCAGGGGCGGACTGACCATTGGAAACTCGGGCACTGCCCGAGGGCCGGGGTCAGTAGGGGGCCTCATGAGATGCCCCTGGTACCTTTTTCATAGGCTCTTTTGAGTTTGAGCAAGGACACAGGGGCCCCATGATCCCCTATTGCCCGGGGGCCCCATGTGTTGTCAGTCCGCCCCTGGGTCAACCCTTTATGTAATATTATTTCTGTCTGTTAACACAGCCAACTAATATCCAACCACTCAAAAACAATGCAAAGCTCCAGGCATCAGGATCATTTTAGAAGTTGGGGTGGTCCCACAGAGGCTTTGCCCACCACACTACATCAAAATCTTTGTTTTACTGTTGTTTACCCCAGTCAGTTTTTTTTTATTGCGGTCTGTGCCTTAGTTAGAAGATTCCACTCACTATTTGTCCACTCACTAATGGCAGCGATCAGCAACTTTTAGTGAGACTGCGGGACTGCAGGGGGCATTCTGACACTGGGGGGAACTAACTTGGTGTCACTGACATCCCCAGTGACACCAGTACAGTGATCAGTGCTAAAAAAACAGCACTGACACTGTACTAATGACACTAGGCAGGAAGGAGTTAATGTGAGGGGCGATCACAGGGTTAACTGTGTGTAGGGAGTGTTTTACTAGGGGGCGGGGGGGTGTGTGCTTCACTGTAAGCATACTGATTGGGATGGCTGTGTTTTGCACAGCCATCCCCAGCAGTGTGCTCGAGTTGACAGGGAGGAAGACTGTTTTTAAACAAAACAGTCTTCCTCCCCATCGGTCATTGTCAGTAATCTCCGGACGACAGCTGGTAATCACGAACACCCCTTTCCCGGAAATGCAAAATCACGTATATATACATGATTTTGCGCACCCGTGCTGCCGTGTAGCAGTATATCTGCTATATGGCGGTGGGTAAGCAGTTAAGCTGTTATACAGGACCATTTAGTTGTACTTTAAACAAAAATGTAAGCATTTTAAAGCCCAACCCTGGGCACAGGGAAATAAAATTCATTGCAGTGGAGCCCCACCACACTGCAAGGGTTAAATGCTCATTATGCCTTATTCTCTACTCCAACAGGGTCCCTCCAGTCTACTGTAAGCTATTCATGGTCATGGTTGCACGCTTGCCCCCTCTATGTACAATGCAGAGTTAATTGCCTTGCATTATATATGATGATGCCAAAGGACCACCCAGAGACTGGAGATTTAGGAAAGAAAAGGTAGGTCAGACAAATTAAAAACTCCACAAATGTTTTATAGCACCAGAGTCGGGGTTAGAGCAAGTAATACTGCCACTGTTTCTACCTTTAGACATAATGACCATTTAACCCTTTCAGTGTGGAGGGACCCACTGCAAGGGAAAATTATTGACTAGTCCCAGAGTTAGAAATTAATCCAAATCTTTAAAAAATAAAGGTCCTCCCTTTCCTGTCCTTTCTCTTGTAGTACTATGCTTGGCCGTCTTAGTCACCTCACGGCTCACCCTGGCTGGTTTACTGAAGTCTGACCATTGAGGGAACCACCATCTACTCCTCACCACCCTTTAGGAACAGTGACGTTTGCTTTGTAACATCCTTAGAACATATTTTAGTGGCTGCCTTTGCTCATATGTTTAATTTGTCGATGTTCATTTATTCCCTTTGACAATCCAGTGTGTACCATTATTCATACACTTAATAAAATGTACTTAAGTAAAGAAAGAAGTGGAAAACCTTTGTACACATGTAAAATAAATAAATTAAGAATGGTGAATCACATGAGTACTTCTGTATATATATGCTGTCTTAATAAACAGTTCAGTCATCGCAGCCATCTAGAAGGAAAATGCAAAATACCCTTTAAAATTGATTTCAAGTACTTTAACATTACAGGCAGCCCTCTGTCAGAAATATACTGTGCAAAAGAATTTATATGTTGGAAATATATATTGCAAGGCAGCCAAACTGACAAAGCAACCGAGGCACATCACTTGAGTCTTCCCTTTCAAACATTTGCATTAATCACTGACACAGTTGGCATAAATGGGCAATATGCCCACTTACTCTGACACCACAGTATGCCAGGTGGAAATACACATTTTGCAGTTATAATAAATGGAAATGTCTAGAGCTCCCTCATTATCCTGCCAGCTTGGAATGAAACACGTAAGTACATCAGGTGGGTATGAGTCAATTTTCTAGTAATTTAGCAGCCTTCATTCAAAATAAATTGATGCTTAGGGTTTCCATTTTTATAAAAAGGAACTTAGTAACAGACATTTGACATCCTGTTGTTGAGTCCATCATCTCCTGCTTTGTTACTAAGCACATAGCTTTAGTACAATTACATGTCTTGGATTCCTTTAGTCTATTTTTAGAAATTATAAGCAAATGCACAGATTATAAGCACTACACATGTAATGGCAATGCGATTACCTCTTTCCCTCCAAGCCCTCCAATTGCACAGAACCACCCAAGAAAGATAAATATTCTCTGTGTTGAAAGGAACCCCCCACTTGTCATTTTAAGAACTCACATATGTAAATCCAACATCATGGAGAGGCAATAAGAGGCAATGAATGAAACATTAATGAAATGCCTGCCTACCTATCCATCATATAACATTTGCTTTTATTTTCTTCATCATAATGGTGCCTAATCATTAAAATTATAATGCTCCCAGTGTCTTGAGCCAGCTTTGTACATGTTAAAACCAAGCCCATACAGAACAAGACTCCTGAAAAGCAGTAACTCATATGGTCTTTCTATGTGAGTGAATTCTTTGGGCTTAGATCATTTTACTTCAGTGGTAAAAGGCTATGAAATAAAGAACAACCCTCAGACAATGGAGCCCAAGACATAGGATGGTGCATTTGCAATATGACCACTTGTCGGCACCTGTATCAGATGGAACTGATAGCGTACTTGAATGTTTACATGACTGAGGGTTGAGGTCCAGTTGATAGAAGGATATGGGGCAAAATGGGAGGCAGCACAGTTGAGTGATATCCATGTGAATGCATTCATATATGCACAGTATTGCCACTGGATCCAGCAACTTTTACCTGTTAATGGGCTGTGAATAATTTCTCTGAGACTGTAAACGATAGTCTTTTTATGGAAGTAAATCTCAATAAATAAAAGAAAAGATGCATATGGAAAGGATCTGCAAATACAGATAATAACAGAGATTGAGCAATTCACATGACAAGAATTTTGTTTCTATATCCATTACACATGCTGCACCCACAAAGACTAAAAGATTCGCCTCTAAGATGTCAAACTCAACCTTACTATAGCATGTCAGATTCTTCAAATTATACGTATACGTTGCCTTTCTGGCATCATCCAACTCTGGACATCGCTGACAGCACTGACAGATCTTTCCAACCCCACCTACATAGTTGTAAGTACCAGTGCAGTGACAGTGCAGGACTCCTGAGCATCAAGACATTAACTAGAAGCAAGAAGACTAGCTGTTAATTAGGTCGTCTTTGTTGTTCAACTGATGTTATACTGGGAACAGTTTTATGTTCAAAATAATGAGATTATGGGAAGACTGTCACAATGGCTTAGCATCACTGCCCTGCTACAATAGAGTCATAGTAGTTACTTTTTCCTCTCCTGATAAGTATAGGAAACTTTCAAAAAATATTTATACAGGACAGTATCTACCCCCTCTTCTACCATCATTTTCTTGTATTCATTTATGCTATAAAAAGTATTCTGGTTAGTGACAAATGGCTATAAATAGCCCTTTATACTGTGTATAAGGAAGTTCAAAAACTGAACATGTTTATTTGTCTTCTTTTAAGATGGGGTTAAAGAAATCAGTCAAGAAAGCTGAAAGGCTGTTAAAGAAATCTGACTATGCAGTACAGGTAAGCGTAAATGCAAAAGGGAAAATTTGCTTGGAATTTTTTTTGAATGGATAAATGAAGATGAGTTATTGGGGTTGATTTACCAAAGGCAAAAAGGCTATTAACTTTGCAAGGAAAGTTGGACTGCAGGGGAATTTTTCTGATAGTATAGTGAATGTGGTAAAATTTTACTTTGCAAAGAATACCCAGTCATGTTCAGGGAATATTAAAAAAATAGCATTTGGGCGTGGCTTGACCTCAGCCAAGATGGAGGCTTAGAACCAGAGCTAGAGTACCCGGCAGAGAAATACAGTGGCTCACAGCTTTCAGGGGCTTTATAAACTTACCCTGGCCCAGCGGTCTGACTCTTTTTATCCCCAGGCAACATGCCCAGGAAAAGAAAAGAGGGTCATGACCCCAAAAATTGACAGCCTACTTCTCCCAGCCTCAGCAGTGACGTGGGCAAGATGGCGCCAGCTCACATTCCTCCTCTCCAGCGGCCTCTCGATCTCCACACAGAGATCAGAATAATTTCCATAGAAACGGGCGGACTGACAAATCATGGGGTCCCCGGGCAATAGGGGATCATGGGGCCCCTGTGTCCTTGCCCAAACTCAAAAAAGCCTATGAAAAAGGTACCAGGGGCATCTCATGGGGCTGACCCCGGGCCCTCGGGCAGTGCCCAAGTTTCCAAATGGTCAGTCCGCCCCTGCATAGAAACAATCCAGACGCTTGGCTGAAACATCACAAGCCTCCACTCCTTCAGTAAGCCCAGAGAAGTCCAGGATCAGGATGGATGACTCTAATCTGCAGCAATGTGAGGTGAGTTCTAACCCTGGCTCACAGGAGGAGAGAATTACCAGAATCTATTACAGCTTTTTCCCACTTCTAATCAACCAGTTTTAGACACTACTCTAAAAGATATGCTGATTTCTCTCAGAAGCACTATTCACACTGATATGATGGCTTGTATGAGGAAGTTTAACACAGAGCTCACTGCTGTTGGGGACAGAGTAAATCATATTGAGACAGAAATGGGGGAATATACTGCCACAATTAAGGAACTAATAGACACACATCATACCACTAAAGAGGAACAGGTCTGGTTAAAGGCCAAACTCGCTGATCTAGAAGACAGGTCAGGACAGGACAGGACAGGTTAAAATTAGAGGAATTTCAAAAACAGTTCAATCAGCAGCACTCTGCTCAATTGTAACTACAATGTTCTCATCCCTAATGCCAGACCTATCGCCACTGGATTTAACGATAGCCAGGATTCACCACATTCCAAAGCCTTCGCATATACCAGAGCATGTACCAAGAGATGTTTTACTCTGCATACACTTTTTCCATGTTAAGGAGCGTTTAATGTTACTAATTCACAAGGAGGAACATCACTCTGCTAATTACTCTGAACTTCAATCTTATACTGATCTATCACAGCATACGTTGTTACTCCGCAAGAATCGGAACAACATTACAAAAGCTCTATGGAACCACAATATTGGGTATAAGTGGGATATCCTACAAAATTCATAATTACTAAATATGGCTCCACTCATATCATTAGCTCTCCCAACAAAGGCCTACAACTATTGAAATCTTGGAATATCATTCCGGAGGATACACCGAAAACAGCACCCCTCAGCAGTCCTCATAGAATCGTACCTGATTGGCAACGTGTGTCTAATTCTTGATCATAACATCTCATCCTGTGAACTATCTTAACTTGATGAGCATATAGCCCCAACAAAGCGAACACAATAGGAGCTCAAGCCTATGATTTCTCTCCAAAATACCTGAGCAGAATTATTCTGCACCTGGGTTTTTTCAAACCCTCTGTTCTCACAAGTGTTAATTAAAAGTGCTTTGTGTTCAATTGAACTTTTGTTTTCTTATGGATCAAGACCTCTGACTGCTATACCAAGTTTCTTACTCTTCAATATGACTACCCAAATCCCAACAACTGGTTATCACACACCTACCATTCTCCTACACCAGCCGACAGTTACCAGTTGGCCTCTCGGTACGCACCAGCAGTATATTAATATCAACATTCTAAATAGATCTCGATATGCCTATTAAAATCTTATCTGTCAATGCACACAGATTTAACCATCCTGCCAAGAGAGCATTGTTGTGGAAGGAGGTGAACTTAACGTATTGCAACATCTTGTGTGTCCAAGAAACTCACTTTCACAAAGAAGCAGCACCTAGATGCACCCATAAAACTTTCAACATTACTTCACAGCGAACATGCCTGCAAAAAATAGAGGTGTAATGATCGCTGTCAAGGACTTTGTCTCGTTTCAACTACATAAGGAGATGCAAGACCCAGCAGGGCATTTATTTAATTATAGTTTGTGATATAAATAACACTCGAATTACCCTGGTGGCTGTTTATGCACCAAATACACACCAAGTCTGCTTCCTGAATAGTTTGATGTGAAAAAATCAGGAAAATGCAGTAAGGATCCATTTTGCTTTGTGGAGACTTTAATATCACCCCAGATCCACGAATTGATTCTGCATGAGCTACTTCCACCAAAACACCATCTCTGTTACCCTTTATGCAGTCTCATGATTTATATGATGCTTAGCGTTGTACAAACACAAATGAAAGGCATTATACTTTTATGTCTGATAGGCATTGTACTTACACTAGAATCGATTTATTTCTAACAGACAGGTGGCTTCTCCAGAAAATCAAGTCAAGCTAAAATGAATGATATCACGTGATCGGATCATGCGTCGATACTTCTTACGGTAGCTGACACATATCCTAAAACTTCCACAGTGGTGTGGCATGCCAACCCACAACTTATGCAAAATCCTGCCACAAAAAAAAATTTTTGAGAGCCACCTGAGTGAATTATTTTCGAACTTAAGTCACCTTCTACTGACAATCTGTTTATCTTATGGAATGCACACAAGGCTTATATCTGAGGTATCTTTATTAAACTGGGTGCGACGGTGAAGAAACAGAGACAGCGACAAATAGACACCCTTCTCTCAGATATAAGCTCTTTAGAAAATCAAAACAAAATTAAACCCTCTCATCAGATAACTGCTAAACTATTTAAATTAAGACACAAATTATGGTTAGCACGCTTAAATAATTATGAGAAATATGCCAAAAGGCTGAAAATGACCTTTTATTCCTCTAGTAACAAAACGGGTAAGGTATTAGCAAGCATAATACAAGGTCAGCGCTTTAAAACAAGAATACCATTTCTAATCAACCCCAAGTCACATAACAAAGTTTATGACCCTCAGCCTATTGCAGATGTATTTAGCGAGTACTACAGTTCCCTTTATAATTTGAGTCAAGATAATCAAGCCTATCAACCTTCCCTAGATGACATAGATAACTTCTTAACTAATTTAAATTTACCGCAGCTTTCTCCCCTACAGCTCCAAAAATGTAATTCTCTCTTCTCATTGCCTGAAGTGTTACAGATCATAGATACATTACCTAACAACAAATCCCCTGGCCTAACTGGGGAACATTACAAACAATTTAAAAGTATAATATCTCCTTTTCTTAAAAAAGTATATGACAAAGCTGCTTTGTGCACATCCTTTCTGCCAGAGATATTGGAAGCTATGATAGTGACATTACCTAAACCAGGAAAGACACCGGACACTCCCCCTAACTTTATGCCTATATGTCTCCTGAACAACAACATAAAAATCTATGCAAAAATTCTTGCCCTTCCTTTGATAAAATATTTTACCCACTCTAATTCACCAAGACCAATCTGACTTTACAAAAGGGAGGCAGACCTCCGATGCCACTAGGCGGTTGATCAACATCATTCATCCTGCAAGGAAGAATCGGATGCCTTCTCTGCTGCTGGCTTTGGACATTGAGAAGGTGTTCGATAGAGTGAATTAGTTATTCCTGCAAAGAGTGCTTCTTAAATTTGGTTTTCAGGGGCATATGCTGTCAACTATTTTGGCCTTGTATACTCTTCCATCTGCACGAGTATATATCTTTGGAGCCTTATCGAAACCCTTTCAAATAAGTAATGGCACCTGTCAGGGATGCCCTTTATCTCCCTTAATTTTCAATCCCATGATAGATCCCTTTGCTTCTAGCATTAGACAACACCCTGATTTCACTGATTTCCAATTCAAAGGTAACAAACATGTTATAAGCCTGTTTGCAGACGATGTTATTTTGATGCTGACTAAATCATTATCTTCTTTAGAATATGTGGCACAGTTACTACAAGAGTTTGGTATGGTATCATATTACAAAGTCAATTACACTAAATCCCATATACTTGACTTAGGGGTATCACCACAACATAGACACAGATTACAATCTAAATTCCCTTACCTATGGAAACACTCAGGTATTACTTATTTAGGTATTATACTCACAACTTGCCCTGGCCAACTATTTAAAACTAACTATCTACCTTTGGAAGCCATGTTAAAAGAAGGTCTACTATCTTTAACCTCCCTGGCGGTATTCCCGAGTGTAGCTTGTGGTAAAGTTTCAGCACCACAAGCGGTAACCCCAAGCTACACTCGGGAATACCCTGCAGCGTTGCTCCGGGATCCCTTCCTCATTTGCCTTGTCCTGCGCTCCCGCGATGTCCCCCCTGCAACGTCCCCAGCCATCTCCTCCGGCCGATGCTGGCATCTGTCTTCCGTGTAACATTCCCTGCGACGTCGGGACGTACAGGGGACGGAAATTTAAAAATGTCAAAAAGTGACATTCACTAAATACTCTAAAATCACACAGTATAACATTACTGTATCAAACCATTTCACATACATTTTGTCCCTAGTACTTTGTCCTGTGCCCTGCCTGCATATTTACTGTTCTTTCTGCCTGGAAACTGAGAAATGTCCATTGCATCCAAAAAGCATCCCTTTAGGTCAAAAGCGGTTTTAGACCAGCTAGAGAACAGCGATAGTAAATTAGAACCACTTGCAGAATTGAGTGATAATGATTCGTGGGGAATTTCGTCATCAGACACTGAAAATGATTTTGTGACTTTGCTCAGTGATGTGCGAACTTGGCGCTATATTTCATATTTCAGTGTTTTTTGGTTTGATTATATTATTGAAATAAATGTTTTATTATTATTATATTATTATTTTTTATGATTATTTCTTAAATTATAATTTATGATTTCGTGTTTCAAATTTTAACATACCCGGGATGTTTTCTAGACTCTTGTTCAGACAGATTTCAGTGAGTTTTTCTAAAAAATTACAGGCCTACAATAAATAAACTACATATTTCCATGCAAAAAAATTTACCACTTTGAGCACAGAAATACTGACATAATCAGACTGCTAGGGAGGCTACGCAAACATATTTTATTGTGGTCTGGGAGATTGGCTGCATTTAAGATGCAGTTACTACCTCAGATTCTGTATGCATTTCGCTCGCAGGGGGGGGGGCTGGGGCTGACAGTTCTTTCTGATTACCATTTAGCTGCAATTTTACCACAATTGTGCCACTGGTTTCCAAAATTCACCCACTTCTTTATGGGGTGAACTTGAACAAATACAAATCCCAAGTGGAAATCTATATACGTACCTTTTAGCATAACCTTACCTTAGTAATAATCCAAAGGAATTCTCACCGGCAATCCTACCGATGTTGAACGCGTGGAAATCACTAAATACTTATATACTGTAGGTAAAACGATCCAGAAACCATTCAACTGTTTATTCCAATCGTCATATATTCTCCTTATTATTCTCCATATTATTGACGGATCTAGATTTAGGACATGGTATACAACAGGTATCAGATCTATTTGCAGGATCCTCTCTGAAACCTTTTGTCTTTTTACAAATGGAACACCACTTACCGGACTCAGAATGTTATTCCTACCTTAGGGTAGCGTCTTACACCCATAAACACATCCCCATTAAATATAAGCTTCCATGGATAGTTGGGAGTTATTATACATCAAAGACTATCAGCAAAGGAGGGGTATCGACAATTTGCAACTTTCTTTCTGACAATCATTATTTACTAAAACACCTCTATCTTAGCTTGGGAAAGAGATTTCGCTAGCTCTTATTCTGATATACAATGGCAAATGGTATACATTTACCTCTACTGAGTGCGCTAATCTATGGGAAATTACTCATAAAGTTATGTTAAGGTGGTACCTTACTGCATATAAATTGTCTAAATTTTATTTCCTCCCAATCCCCAATGTGTTGGAGGCAATGCAAGCAGACTGGCACTCTCTACCACATTCTTTGGTCATGCAGCAAACTAGATAACTTTTGGCTGTCAGTGTTTGATATTCATACCCAGGTCACTATACCACTCTCTCCTGCACTAGCTATCCTGAACCTGGGTATAGAGGATATCCTCCTCCTTTTAGACAATTTACGACCCATTTATTTCTGGCACCAAAACTGGCTAATATACGTATATGGAGATCACCATCTTCCCCCAATATCTACGATACCATACAGACACTTCACACACACCCACTACACATATGAAAATATGTTAGCCACTGTTACTGGAAAACACTCCACTTTTCGCAAGAACTGGAAGATTTGGACTGAGTGGTACACATCCCAAAGGAAAACATGCATGTAAACCTTATTTCCTTTGCTATTTCATCATATTCTCTAGTAAATTAGCATGTATTGGGTCTTGAGCCATAAATTGTTTAATTACTTTTGTATAGTCAATTTGTTTACTTTTATATTATAATTTCTATTCCACAAGTGACTTGTATTTTATAGCTATATGTTACACAATTGGCACCAAAATTCTCTAGGTTGTCTACAGCATAGTGCATTCTTACTGGGTAGAGATGTTTTGTACTGAATGAGAATATCAAATAATTGTGTAATGTTTCTTCATTTGGTCATTGTATACCTTTTTTGATCCTGTTTTACTAAATTGTGAAAACAACAATAAAAATGTATTGAAATTAAAAAAAAAATAGCATTTGTGCTTGCATATGATTGAGGAAATTGATGTCAGCAGAGCTTCACACCATATTCACTATGCCTCAGGGGATAATTCCCTTGCAAAGTGCAAATTCCCTACAACAAGCTATTTGCCTTTAGTAACCACACCCCACTGAATCAATCAGTTTGTAAAATTTTAAAACCTATGAATGATCATTTTAAAAATACAAAATGTGTTAAACGCTCACATTTATTAATGATCCCTCCTATAAGACAAGTTCGCCTATGTATTAAAATGCACTATGCAGTCAAAGGGCCCCAGTACTTTAATAAACAATGTGTAGCTTTAAAATTTGGAGTTTAATTTAGGTGCCATATCTGTAGTTCCATCACTACTTATCTACAGCCTGACTAAAAAAACTACTAATAGGAGATATCTGCACCATTCTTCATGTGGTCTGGGATGCCCTGTACGTTGAGTGTGCTCCCCGCATCCCTGAAATGAGCGTTGCTCCCTTTTTCAAATTTCACATGTGTGCAATGTGCTCTCCCTCCCCTGTTGCTGCAGCTCAACGTGAAGGCAGATGTCTAAAATGTAATTTATATACCCTATTTAAGGGTTACTGTTCAGTGTCTTAAAGGTGAATGCATGGTGGTGTGCCTGCCATTTTGCCTGTCATGCTTCAGGTAGCAAGGGCATTTAAGTAGGAAGGGGTTGGGCCAGTAGGTTGGTATTGGTTGGTCATGAAAGTGAGAAGGAGATGTTGAGTTACCCCTTGGCAGGACCCTGAGATGGGACTGAGAGTGAGCCATGATACCATCAACTGGGAACTATTACAGGCTAAAGATGCCACAGCACAGCGAAGTCCAGCAGTCCAGCATATTATTTAAAAAGGAACACCTTCATGTTTGTAACCTGTTTAATGCCCATGTGATTTATGAAGAACTGTAATGTGGAGATAAAGAGGAACTGTAAAAGGTAAAAGGAAGGAGGAGTTCAGGAGAGGAGGTAGTGGTGGTTGGTGACAGAGGATCCAGAGGAGGGGTAGATTGGTAGCTGTATGGTCTACTATTCTAAGTAGCAGGGACCCCCAGTTAGGGCTCGCTGCTGCATAGCAGAACCCTCCTATGGACTGGTCCTGGACCATTGGTGTGCAAGGCCTTGTGAAGTATAGAGTAGCTTCCCTTCACGACCTCAGGCTGATGAGTAAAGTGTAAACATGTATTGAAAAACCAGCGGAGGCAAATCAGTGTTCAGCGCTATTTCCCTCAAAATGACTTCATAGTCCCTGGTGGGACAGGTGCCATTGATAGGTAAAAAAGACATAATCCTTCTGGTGTGGGGCTGGGTGCCATGATGGGCACTAACTCACACATAAGAGCAATTTCATCAAGCTAACATTTAACTTAAATACTAATTTAAACGGACAGCATGCAGTTCCCCTATACTGCCAGCAATGTGTGGGGATTGAAAGAGGGAGCACAGGAGTGCAACCTCTAGCAACCTGTGGAGAATCCCTGCCTGAGAAAGGCTGCTCTCTAGAAAAGAAGTACTTTCTATATATCATATTAGTTGTCCATTCTGGAGACCATTAAAAATCATTGTATTATGAGACAAGAGACTTTTAACGGGAGCCTTGTAGATTTTTGCTATACTGTACATCTGAGATATATAAAAACACAATCCACATCAGCAAACATGGTACTGAATTTGAACAGTTGATGACAGCTTGTATTATTGTTTTTATGTTATATAATATTTTTCTAGAGGACAAAGTAGGTAATGGGAAAATAATGCAGATAGATTTTCTGGTACACTACACTTATCTACGGCAATTGTTAATAAGAGTGTACCTGCCATTTAGCTGTGCAAAACTGAACATTAACATCCCAGCCAGCATTGTGTAAAAGCCTACTTGTTGCATATAGTTATTAGCACACATTCCGGTATGCAAAATATCACATAGAACATTACTCTTCCTTCTTTGTCAGGAAGTTGCTGCAATAAATTCTGTACGTCAACTAATATATGTCTTATACAATAGATCTCCTGTAACCTTAGAGACCAACAATGACTTTGAAAACTGACATACAGCAACGGACATTTATAAAAGTTGTTGAAGCGAAACATTAACCGATTCCTGCTCTCTGCATATTTTTTTGAGCTACATATTCATTATAATGCACAACTGCTATAGATCTATTTAGGTAAATGAGCAAAACTGCATATTTTAGAAAGCCTGAGTTTTGTCATTTTCTTTCAAAATATTCTGCAATTCTGCAAAATATCACAAAATGGTTTTCAGAAACACAATATATGTGCCCCTTCCTGGTACTATACCGAATACTGTATGTAAAATTATATTCTGTACCACAAGAACAATGTAATAAGCAAATATCTGTAACATGTCTTGCCTTGCTTCCACCATACTGTAAATGACAACTTTTGAACAATTTCCAAGTTGGATATAATTTTGTAACAGTTACTCTTAATTTAGATATATTTAAATTTTACTTAGAAGCAATGTTTAATTTCCTACCTGAAAACTAAATAATTAACAATAATGTGTACGCTCTTATTTTTTTGTAGAAACACATTGAAGTTGTTTCCAGCATTCTGTTCAAGATTTGCTCGCTTCCTGTGTTTAAAAAGATCTGTGATGCAATAGACTTGTAAGTATCTGTGTTGACAGATCAAAAGCATGATAGCATGTCTAAGGCCGTGCCTATTACTTCCAGTCCATTGCAAAGAACATTAGCTATTAACAGTTCCTATGAGCTTGAGTACAATTGTAATTGTTCAAAATGTGTGAAATATATTCTGCTGTTTCTGATGCTTGTGCAGTCATACTTACCAACATTACCCTGAAGATAAGTATAATATGTTCTTTACATTTTCTTATTACCTAATTGTTCCTTCTCTGCATGTCCTAATAGCGTAGGGGTAATGGAAGCACAATCTGGGATAAGGCAATTACTTTCTAGACGCAAAGGAATGTGTGTGTTTTTTGTCAGTTTATATAGGTTTTTATTCTTGTTTGCCTAATTTAGAACAATAAAGGAACATTTATTGGTCAGGAGTTCAAAGTAATCTCATTTGTCTTTAATATCTTTTGGGAAACAAGAATCACTTAAAAGTGAATATTAAATTTAGGTGCTTTTGTAACTTTTAGAATAGGGTTGTACTCAATAAATTGTTCTGCACAGGCATACCCAAGAGCTTCTCATTGTTCTATAAGGCATGTTCGGGTTGACTAATGATCATTCTTGCATTGAATGTGTAGAGCTGGAAACAGCTACTTCATTATGCAATGAATCTCCAGAATCAAGTAGGATGACAGTGCTAACTGGTACGCATTGATGACTGAGATGGGGTCCTAGATAATCTCAACAATTATAATGTAATTTAAACGCACCCTACACCTTCCAAAAAAGAAATTATTTTCATGCCTGGAACTGGAGTAGTTGAGTATTGCACTATGTTAGCCATTGATACCCTATCTGGCTAACTTAACTACTTGTCGACCAAACTATAGCTGAAAGACAGCTACAGCTCAGTTGTCCAGTTCTGGGAGGGCATCAATAGATGTCCTCCCAGAACCCCACCCCGCGCACCTCCTGCGGTAATCATTTGCCATGTGCTGTAACTGCTGTGTCCTTCAGACATGGCTGGTCACAGATCAGGGTAAAGTGTCAATCACTGCAGCCTTTTACCATGTTATCCAATCACAGATGATCTCATGTAAACAAATTGCTTGTTATCGGCATTCCTTTCGTCCCACGCTGTGTCTGTGGGAGGAAAGGAGAGTCGTTAACTAGCAAGCCTGCCAGCACATCGTTCTCACTGATATTCAGGGCACTAATCATCAGTGCCCTGATTATCAGTGCAGCCCAATCAGTGCACATCAGTGTTGCCTATCAGTGCCCATCAGTAGCATCTATCAGTGCCCATCAGCTCTGCTTCATCAGTGCCACCTCATCAGTGCCCATTAGTGCAGCCTATCAGCACACATCAGTAATAAAGAAAAATTACTTATTTGCAAAATTTTATAACAGAAACTAAGAAAAATTTTCAGTCTTTTTTCATTTGTTTAGCAAAAAATAAAAATACCAGTGGTGATAAATAAAATATACAAATTACATATTTTTACAGTGTTGCATTACTGAGTAATTGTCATTCAAGGTGTGAGAGCACTGAAAGCTTAAAATTGGCCTGGTCAGAAAGGGGGTAAAAGTGCCTGGTAGGCAAGTGGTTAACGTGTAACTCCACCTTTGTTGAAAAAAAAATCCTCTATGGGTGATCAATGTACAGTACATTGCAAGGGTTTGATTGTTTGTTTGTTTGTTACAATTTTTGTAGCAGAGTCCTACCTTTTTCAGCTCTGAATAAAAAGCTATTTGTTCTATTATCTTCTTGCAAGACTGATTCCTAAATGGAAGGCCCTGCACTCATTATAACCAACTGGTGCCCTCTCAGTGATCTAATGAGGAAACTTGCAGTGTCTACATTCCTTTAGAAGTTTTTAACCCTGAGGTAGTATCTCACCAAAAATGAAATTTCTCTTGCAGAGACCGTCTAAAATGTTACTTTTATCTTGGTCAGATGTCAGAGGAAAATCAGAAAGTCAGTCACAAGAGATGACATTTCTGTGGGCATTCTGTATGCCAACTATGCACAGAATGCCTCCAGGTTGTTATTTGCATTGAATTTTTTGACGGTTTTAGAAAATAACACTGGCTTCAGATTGAAATGGATAGGCAATCTTAACATTACATTAGTAAATATATATATATATATATATATATATATATATATATGTTTATATATTTATTTATTTTTAATGTATTTTTTTTTTAACGAAAGTGGATTTCCCCTTTAAGTTATTAATGATGCAAGGTTTTAGGCTGATTTAGATCCCTTCTCCAAGTTTCATACAATTCTAAAATGATTCTGAAATCCACATATTTCTACACAAAGATACAATTAGGAGCAATGAAATTTAACTAATTTAAAAATGGCTGGAGTTGCTTATCCTAAAGCAGAGCTCCAGTCAAAAAGAATGAAAGTCAGCAGCTACAAAAACTGTCCCTCAATTCAGTGGTGTCCCCGGAAGTCCTCTCTCCCCGACTCTGGCATTTTAAGTGGAAGTAAAGTCCACTTTTTAAGTTGTACGTACAGGTAAGCCTATAATAAGGCTGCCCACTGCGCATGCATGAGTAGCACTGCACTTTGTGAATGGTCCTGTAGTCTTCTGGGACCTGTCAGGTGTCCCAAAAGACTACAGGGAGGGAGGACAACTTCCGCTTCCTGTCAGAATCAGGTCCCCCCCGCTGCTCCCCAAAGGTGTTGATCCTTAACAGGGAGTGGGGATAAGGACTTAAAGCGAGTTTTCTCCTTTTGAATCGAGCTCCACTTTGAAATCTCTACAGCTAATCTAAATGAGATGAAACACCTATGTGATAGAATCCTTATTGTCAAAAACACTGTATTGCCAAAAGTATTGGCTTGTCTGCCTTTACACGCACATGAACTTTGATGGCATCCCAGTCTTAGTCCGTAGGGTTCAGTATTGAGTTGGCCCGCCCTTTTGCAGCTATAACAGCTTCAACTCTTCTGGGAAGGCTGTCCACAAGGTTTAGGAGTGTGTCTATGGGAATGTTTGACCATTCTTCCAGAAGCGCATTTGTGAGATCAAGCACTGATGTTGGATGAAGGGCCTGGCTCGCAGTCTCCACTTTAATTCATTCCAAAGGTGTTCTGTAAGGTTGAGGTCAGGACTATGTGCAGGCCAGTCAAGTTCCTCCACCCCAAACTCACTCATCCATGTCTTTATGGACCTTGCTTTGTGCACTGGTACGCAGTCATGTTGGAACATGACAGGGCCATCCCCAAACTGTTCCCACAAAGTTGGGAGCATGAAATTGTCCAAAATATCTTGGTATGCTGACACCTTAAGAGTTCCCTTCACTGAAATAAGGGGACAAGCCCAAACACTGAAAAACGACCCCACACCCTAATCCCTCCTCCACTAAACTTTACACTTGGCACAATACAGTCAGACAAATACCGTCCTCCTGGTAAACGCCAAACCCAGACACGTCCATTGGATTGCCAGACAGAGAAATGTGATTCTTCACTACAGAGAACATGTCTTCACTGCTCTAGAGTCCAGTGGTGGCGTGCTTTACACCACTGCATCGGAAACTTTGCATTGCACTTGGTGATGTAAAGCTTGGATGCAGCTGCTCGGTCATGGAAACCTATTCCATGAAGCTCTCTACGCACTGTTGTTGTGCTAATCTGAAGGCCACATGAAGTTTGGAGGTCTTTAACTATTGACTCTGCAGATAGTTGGAGACTTCTGTGCACTGTGCGGTTCAGCATGCGTTGACCCTGCTCTGTCATTTTATGTGGCCTACTACTTCGTGGCTGAGTTGCCGTTGTTCCCAGTTGCTTTCACTTTGTTATAATACCACCAGGGGCGGACTGACAGCTCATGGGGCCCCCAGGCAATAGGGGATCATGGGGCCCCTGTGTCCTTGCCCAAACTCTAAAAGCCTATGAAAAAGGTACCAGGGGCATCTCATGGGGCCCCCTACTGACCCCGGGCCCTCGGGCAGTGCCCAAGTTTCCAAAAGGTCAGTCCGCCCCTGAATACCACTAACAGTTGACCGTGGAATATTTAGTAGCAAGGAAATGTCACGGATGGACTTATTGCACAGGGGGCAACCACACTTGAATTCACTGAGCTCCTGAGAGCAACCCATTCTTTCACAAATGTTTGTAGAAGCAGTCTGCATGCCTAGGTGCTTGATTTTATACCAAACAAAAAGAAAAAAGCCACCTAATATGACACGTATATCCGTGTCATAATAATATCTCCGTTTCACTTATAATATAAATGTGGATTTATAAACCCAGGGTACTTAGTAGAAAATATGGCAGTGTGACAAGAGCAGCACTGCCTACAAAAAGTGGTTAATTGAAAATCCATGCGGAGTAATATAACTGCATTAAATAGCTACAAAAATATTTTATTTGATCACATGGATCATGAAGAGGTTAGACATAGACACGGTGGACAAATCATAATAAAATTACAAAATTAAAAAAACATTCGACGTCTTCAAATCTGGTTATTAATCGGCAAGCAGGAATCCACATAAGGCAATAAAGTTTCCTAACTACATGATCATAGAGTTCCATATGGTTCCACATAGTATCTGGATAGGGAGATCATTCTTCAAAGATATTCTTTGGTAAACACCACAATAAACGGAATGACTTCCTATAATGGAAACCAAAGAAGGATCATGGTAGTGAAAACATAGAAAGAATAATATATACACAGATCATGTACTTAAGCAAGATAGCCAGACTAAGTAGTAGTTCCATTACCTTTTCATGAGCTTGACCATCATGAAAAAATGATGAATGTAGGACCTTCCTGGGTGACCACCCCAAATAGAAATGAATCCACAATAGCAAGTGGTTCTAAGAAAGTATAGACATACATAATGAGTATCAAGCAAAATACCTGAATAAAATAAATATAAGGGTAAAAAATATATTACCAGAAATAGGATCAAGGAGACGGGATCAAGGAGGGCGGACTGACAGCTCATGGGGACCCCGGGCAATAGGGGATCATGGGGCCCCTGTGTCCTTGTCCAAACGCAAAAAAGCCTATGAAAAAGGTACCAGGGGCATCTCATGGGGCCCCCTACTGACCCCGGGCCCTCGGGCGGTGCCCGAGTTTCCAAAAGGTCAGTCCGCCACTGAATACCACTAACAGTTGACCGTGGAATATTTAGTAGCAAGGAAATGTCACGGATGGACTTATTGCACTGGTGGCAACCACACTTGAATTCACTGAGCTCTTGAGAGCAACCCATTCTTTCACAAATGTTTGTAGAAGCAGTCTGCATGCCTAGGTGCTTGATTTTATACACCTGTGGCCATAGAGGTGATTGGAACACCTGAATCCAATGATTTGGACTGGTGTCCCAATACTTTTGGCAATATATTTCTGTGCACAGTACTATCAATGAACTCAATATGACATGAACAATTTTGTGCTATGCGAATCTTGCCAAATCTGCTTCATTAGTGTTTTAAAGCATGAGCCCCGCTTCCCTTTGTCAGTTCAAAAAGAAGTACATTGGTTCACTTAAACAGATCCACAGAAAACAACCACTTCCTTTGGACCGACCTGATACAATGCAAATCTTAGTTCTGGCAAACATTAAAGGCTTAGAGATGGTTGTTTTTAGCTAAGTCCAACATACTTTAAAAATTCAAGTACAGAGCTGAGAATATGTTAGGTAGGCACAACGTGCTGCAGAAGCAGAAGAGTCCCTGATTGCAGAAAACTATGTATTGCAGAACTTGTAAAATAGTAATACAGCCTAGCGGGGAAGCACACCAGAATGGGGAACTCACACCAGTTAGAACGGAGAGTCAGCAGTGAGTAGGCCAGAGATGGAGATAGCGCCTGTCAAGGAGAGTGGAGTGTGGTCTGGCCATTCCAACCCAAAAGGGAGCTTTCTGAGTTGCAGGCAAAGACCCTACACTTTCACTACTCCTCTGGAACCTCCCTACCACTAGTGCTGTCCCTGACAAATAAGTATCCTATCCCTGCACTGTTAAATCACAGGATGCACACCAAAACCCAAAGGCTGGGACTTAAAAAGACTGTGAGTGATCCAAGATGGCCACCAGGGTCACCTGGAATCAGCATAGCCAATTGGAATGCTATCCCAGGGGACCGAGGGAACCATAAAAAAACCAAGCTTCTCTTGACTTCCTTTCCGAGCTGCATTGCCGTTCTAGACAAATGCCACCTGCAGTGGAGAATGTACACTGTACCTGCCTACAAATAAGCACCCCATCCTTGTGTAAAGCTAGGTCATTTTTTCTATTTACCATTTCAGAACCTATCAATTTTTTCTTTTTTTCTGATTCTCTTTCTATAAGTGCTTTTATTTTGTTAGCACTTCTGCTATCCAAAACTTTACCCAGCTTCATCTCCTGTGATTACAGTGCAGGATGTATTAACTGCCACCTCTAATTCAGAAATCTCATTTGGGGTGTGGTTACTGTCCATTGCTCAGGGGCACCTATTGGCAACCATTTCTCTAGCTTGGACCACGCTGTATATAAAGAATTTCCAGCCCAAAAGGTAAAGTTGGTAGCCAGAATGCTGTACGGCTTGCATTTACTGACAGTGTAAACCTGCATGCTTCAGGAAGCACCAGGGTTTCTGCAGCTGTTTTGTAAGTCAGTAACAGAAGGAGATTTGAATCCCTAGAAAAAGCTACCATATACTACAATAAATGTATTTGAATGTTTTTATGATGGTGATGATTATCTTTTAATTTCCTAGTTCTGAGCCAGCAGAAGATCTTGATCACGATAACTTCAGTGTGTTTCCGGTAAGTTGAACAAGCATAAAATGTATTTTCATTGTATTGTCTGTCTTTTGCAAACGCAGGACAAAACAAGTTAACTTTAATGGCAGCTGATCCCCATCCACTTCCCATGCCAACTAAAAATATACTATACGTTCCTTCTAACAAAATAGATGTTTTTTTACCTTAATGGATTCTATGCATTAAGCTAAAAAAAAAGTTCTGTGCTCCGCTCGCCCCCCAGCCCTTCCTTAGACTTATCTGATCCCGATCCCAAACCAGTGGTGTGCATGAAAGTAGAGGCTCTCTCTGCTCTCTCTCTCCTGAAAGGCTCAGAGACAGCAATGAGAGCCATAGGCTCCTGCTGGTGTCAATCACAGCCAGTGAGAAGGGGGCAGGTCAATGAACTCACGGAACCAGCTTGGGATTGAGTATGCACTAGTGCCCCCATGCAAGCAGCTTGCTTGTAACTCGGCAGCAGGGAGGAGTCAGGAGCGCTGGTGAGGGACCTGAGAAGAGGAGGATCAGGGCCATTGTATGCAAAACCATTGCACAATGCAGGTATGGCATGTTTATTATTTACAAAAAAAAACATTTCTAGGTTTATAGTCAATTTAAATCAGAAAATTAGGTACTGATAATTGACTCCATGCTAACCCCTTATGCAAATATAATTATGTAGAACTTTAAAAATAGATGCATATAGTGTTTTAAATCCAGCAAGGCACTGCTTCGTCCTGTTCTGCATAGCCTCAGTTGTCTTGTATTCTCGGCACTGTGCCAATAATCAGTGAATCACTAGAGGCCAATCTGCTGAGAGCCCCAGGATTTATTGCTGCTGAGGGAGAAGGAAGTAACAGAAATGACAGAGACTGTGCCGACGGAACACAACTTAGGGAGGGAGAAGAGAAAAGCAGGATAGATGACAGGACAAACTCTTTTGCCAGGAAGACACAAAAGAGTTATACAAGGATAGTGTCTTTACTTGTCTTCCTGATTCTCTCTCCTTCCTGCATCCACAGCCGCACCACTATAAGCCTGAGAACTCTCAGCTACTGCAGCCTTCCCCTCTAGCTGAGCCAAGACATAAAATCAAGGCTGGAAATGCACACATTTTAATTGCAGAAAGTGACATAGTTTTGAGACTAAGAAAAGGGGAGAGTTTCCAATAAGGAAGTGGGCTTCAGCAAAATGTCGGCGTCAGGCAAGAAGAAACAGAAGCAATGCTCAAGGCAATTTATAGCGTACACTAATTTTGGTAGCATAATTATTAATGTGGAGTGTATGTTCCTTGCTAAAGAACATCATTTATTATCAAGTTGTTATGGCTAAAGTTCTGTTTTTAGAAATAATGGAAAATGTACTGCCAAAACGTTTCTGCATCATAATTATTTTAATATAATTTGATTAAAGCACACAATGCAAACCTACAGGACTGCTAACACATTGCAAACAGCATTCTACCTGTGCATTTCACCAACTGTTAGGGAGACTGTAATTAGCCACTGAGAGTTCCCTCTGGCTTAGCTCGCTCAAATATTTAATAAAATAACAAAAGTTTTGAAGATCAAACTTGTAAAAACGTAACATCAAAAATGACTAGAAGGAAAACACTGAAGTAATAACTAAAATATATTCTCACTGCAAATTCACAATGCTTTTCTTTTAAAGGCTTTTGCACTCAACAATTTACATATAACCTGTTTCCGAGGTATATCAATGACCACCTTGTGCTCACTGTATGAGGTGTGCGTTTAGCTCGTTGACACATATAAGAGTTCACTTCTCTTGTCATGGCCAAATGCCTTGCAAGAGCACAGAGTCATTTTTATTGAGGCTTGGTGTTTTGCCTTCATGAATCTTAGTAGATGACACTCTGTCCATTACTTCAAGATCGTACAGAAAAAAAAAAATATTTGGAAAACACCAGTTTTTAGGGCTACACTCTCGACAATAAATTAAAGTGATTGTAAATGAACAGCAAAACATTTTTATAGCAATATTAAAAAAAAAACATTATACATACCTTTTTCCCCTTTTTTATAGGTAATCACATACCCTTTGTTCTCAGCTGCATAAGAGCTGGGGGGGAGGGGGTGAAACAGCAGACACTAATCTCCCTAATGAATGACTGTGCAGGGGGGGAGTGTCAGATGACGTTTGGTCATTGGAGGAGAGCACACTGAGTTTCCAGCACCTCTAGAGAACTGACCATGCTGTGCTTTCATGCCTAATGTAGTCAATTTTTAATAGGAAAGCAGTGGCACTAGCAGGACATGGTACAGCAGGCACATACTCATACATGTACATGGTAGAGCAGGCACATATCAGGAATATTAAATGTTGGGTTTACATATTTTTTTAAGATTAATTCCACTTTTGTTCAGAAAAAAAATCATTCCCCTCTGGGTGATCTATGTGCATTTGCAAGGATTTTAACAAACTTTGTTGCAGATTCCTACCTTTTGTTATTCTGAAGAAATAACTGTTTGTTTGTCTGTGTCCATGTGCAGAGTGAATCTGTATGGGAGTGGTTTTATCATGATCAATCAGCTGCTGTACCTGCAGGGTTCTAATGAGGAAAGTTGCAGGGTCTGCATCCCTTTAGATGTGACTTTGGGAGTATCTCACCAAAAATCACATTTTTCTTGCAGGGGATATTCTGACTTGGTTCTCAGTGCAGACTTCTGAGAAAATCAGTAAGCCAATCACACAAACAGGAAATAATGTTTCTGGGGGTGTTCTGTACACCATCTGTGTACAGAATGCCTCTAGGTAGCAATATTGCATTGAATTTTACAGAAAATTACAGCGACTGAGAATGAAAAGGGAAGGTAGTTTTTAATAACATTCAATTGCAATATGACTTTTGTCACAATTATATATATATACATATATATATATATATATATATATATTATTTTTATTTTTATTTTTTTTTTTTATTTGCTATTTTTTTTCCTACTAAAGTGGAGTTATCCTTTAAATAAACATAAAAAATATACATGAAAGCTAATGATCTGCCAAAGGATTTGTATTTCTGTTCATTCATTTCTGATGTCTACAGAGCACCAACAGGTCAGAAACCTAATTTTCTCTAGTACTGTCAAGTAATAAAACTAGGGCTTGTCCCTGCTCCCAGCCACTCTGCTCTCTCCTCCTGTCTGCATGCTCACTACAATACGATTGATTGGCTCATTGTGTTGCTTCTCCAATTTCGCAGTCTGAACTCTGCTATACAGAGAATTCCAAGAGGCTGATACAAGTCAAATTCAGATACACTAGTTGCTTTTAAAAATACAAAATGTTTCAATGAACACACATTTGAATGAATTGGTGCTTTTATCTGCCTGCAGATCAGCTTTAACAATGCACTTTACTAGATAGATTTAAAGAAATAGATTGAATATGACTAAATTGTACCTGATAAGATGGTGCTTTTCTTCTCTGCAGTCTTTGCGTGGATATCACTGGAGGGGTAAAGATTGCAATGACATAGACAAGTCTATTTATCCTGGCAGAAGGTGAGTTTATCTTAAATTAGAACTACAGGAACTTTTTTCACTTTGGATAGTGAGGGTTATAACCATGGCCAGATCTAGGGGGGTGCTGGGGTGGGCCCCCCCCCACAGCTTCCCACTCACGAGTCACAACCCCCCTGCACACCTGATACTGTGCCGGGCCGTCCCCCATCTCTGAATTGTACATGCACAGTCTGAGCACAGGCAGCAAGATCTCCTTCTTGGCTTGTCACTACACAGAGCTGAAATCCAATTCTCTATCACTCAGCTATGATCTGCACAGTGTGTAGCTGGTTACTACTTTCCATTTCTGACCTGTGAAATTCCCTGGTCAGAATGGCAGCACAGCTGTAGTAACCAGCTACACACCGTGCAGAGCTTAGCTGAGTGAAGGAGAATCAGATTTCGGCTCTGTGTAGTGTGGTGAAGAGCCAAGGAAGAGATCTTGCTGCCTGTGCTCAAACTGTGCATGTACAAGGGAGCTATGCTGAGTGCCCTACCAGCAGTCACCCCTGTGCTCTCTCCTGCCAGCGATGACCCCTGCTCTCTCTCTTGCCAGCAGTGACCCCTGTGCTCTCTCCTGTCAGTGGTGACCCTTGCCTTCTCTCCTGCCAGCAGTCACCCCATGCTCTCTTCTTCCAGCAATGACCACTGTCCTCTGCACTGCCAGCGGTGACCCCTGTGCTCTCTCCTGTCAGTGATGACCCCTGCCTTCTCTCCTACCAGCAGTCACCCCATTCTCTCCCCTGCCAGCAGTGACCCCTGCCCTCTCCCCTACCAGCGGTGACCCCTGTGCTCTCTCCTGTCAGTGGTGACCCCTGATCTCTCCACTGCCAGCAGTGACCCCTGCCCTCTCCCCTGCCAGCAGTGACCCCTGTGCTCTCTCCTGTCAGTGGTGAGTCCTGTCTTCTCTCCTGCCAGCAATCACCCCTGTGCTCTCTCCTGCCAGCGGTGACCCCTACCAGCAGTCACCCCTATGCTCTCTCCCGCCAGCGATGACCCCAGCCCTCTGCCCTGCCAGCAGTATACCCTATGCTCTCTCCCGCCAGCGGTGACCCCTGCCCTTTCCCCTGCCAGCAGTGACCCCTGTGCTCTCTCCTGTCTTCAGATGACCCCTGCCCTCTCCCCTGCCAGCAGTGACCCCTGTGTTTTCTCCCACCAGGGGTGACCCCTACCCTCTCCCCTGCCAGCAGTGACACCTGTGCTCTCTCCTGTCATTGGTGACCCCTGTCTTCTCTCCTGCTAGCAGTCACCCCCTCCTCTCTCCTGCCTGCAATGACCACTGTCCTCTGCATTGCCAGGGGTGACCCCTGTGCTCTCTCCTGTCAGTGGTGACCCCTACCTTCTCTCCTACCAGCAGTCACCCCATCCTTTCTTCTGCCAGCAGTGACCCCTGCCCTCTCCCCTGCCAGCAGTGAGCCCTGTGCTCTCTCCTGTCAGTGGTGACCCCTGCTCTCTCCCCCTGCCAGCAGTGACCCCTACCCTCTCCCTTGCCAGCAGTGATGCCTGTGCTCTCTCCAACCAGCGGTGACCCCTGCCCCCTTCTCTGCCAGCAGTGACCCCTGTGCTCTCTCCTACCAACAGAGACCCCTGCCCTCTCCCCTGCCAGCAGTGACCCCTGTGCTCTCTCCTGTCTTCTGGTGACCCCTGCCTTCTCTCCTGCCAGCAGTCACCCCGTCCTCTCCTCTGCACTGCCAGGGGTGACCCCTGTTTAGTTATACTTTAATTGATGTAACTGGAAACTTCCTTGCTATAGTGTTCAGATGATCATAAGCTAAATCTGTCTTTCTTTCTGATGTATGCTCTATAGCAGAAGATGACTTCCAGACTATGAATATGTGTCTGCACAGCGCTGATTGGTGCTGTGCCAGTCATATGACATTAAAAAAATGGCTTTCAGAGCAGAGAATGAAAGTAAATAAATAACCGCAAAAAAGTATTTTAAAGTGTATTACAAATCTACATTTCAAAGCAAATGGTTATTAACTTTTTCCAATAACATGGTGCAGGTGGAGTTTAAGTTGACTAAGAATAGCTTTCACTTTGTTCACACTGTAAAGATAACTGGAGGAGAATCTGCCTGTCACAAGCATCTCCAGCCTATGTCTATGATGTGTATGTGCTGGGACTAACAGGAAGGTGAAGCCTCCATCCATCAACATTTTAAATCCCACCCCCATAGTGTTTAGCATATGATAACATGGAGGAGGAGGAATGGAGGAAGGGGAATGTAATTTACCACTGTGTATATGCCCACGTGTATATGTGAACATATACTCTATAGTCACACATTTGGGCATTTACAGTACACAGATAAGCAAAAGAAGGAGATTAACAGCCTAGAAGGGAACTGAAACTTGAGCATGCTCAGTGGATGTGGCAAATGCTTGTCTACACAATCTCAGGCTGTAGCAGGGACACAAACAAGGATCGAAAGGCAGTGTTCAGCCAGATCAACCAGTTTTTTGCAATCTACAGAAAACAAATGCTCTAGTGACAAGTGAGTATGCACACAATGTAATATAGCATGTAATTTAATGACACTTTAACTAACTGCACAAAACTGATTCAATAGAGTCTTGGAAATAGTACCATCATCAAGTTTGCAAAGTACACTGTCATTTACACTATTAACTTTTTGTTCTATTTTCTTTGGTCTCAGCGAAGTGCACCATCATTTTGTAATACATATTCTGCATACAATGGGCTGATTAAAGGAATAGGTTGCTCACAAATTTGACTCTTCGAATACCCATTAGATTTTGGGAGAAAAAAAGTATTTAAAGAGCAACTAAAAGCAAAACTTTTTTTGGATACAGTAAGGGAGGTTTATTACCCCTGTCAGTCTTTTTTTGCCATCTGTGTCTCATTGTGGAGATTTCCCTTTATTTCCTGTCTCCAAAGTGAGGGCATTCTGAGGCGTTCCCAGGATCATCAGAACTAGTGTCCCATTGGAGGATTTCCCCTCTATTAGTGTTCTGATGTAAACCCAAAATTTGGGATTTTCTTTTAATTTCACTGATAATGGTAAATAGGAAAAATAAAGAGGGTGTCTGTAATGAGGGCACAGATGGCAATAAAAACCTGACAGGTGTTCTAATCCCTCTTCACTCTATCCAAAACCAAAAATAAAAACTGTTTTGCCTTTAGTTACACTTTATAGAGAACACAGGTCATGATAGAAACTGTACCCTTAGTAAACTAACCCTAGTATGTATTTTGGAAAATAAATACCTACCAGCAGAAGAATATCAAACTTATATTTTCCGACAATTCACAAAGCTGTGACCTCTTTGCTGAGGCAACATTTTGCAGTGCAGCCTGCCCTCTGAACATTCTGATTCCTCGTTTCGTGTAAATGCCAAACTGGCTCTGTCCCTAGAATGAGCTCTCATAATGCAAACCAAGCATTTTCATTACCAGTTCCATGCTCATGAAAGAAACAAATTCATTTTTGTTTATTATCACTATTTTTTGACTGTGTGTATATAGCACTAACCCAGTTCTTTACAGAGTACAGGGAGACCTTTATATCATTGTTATCAATGTTATTGCGACAGGTATGAAAATACATACATATATTGTAGAGTCAACATTGTCAGATCTTACCAGATGTAACCCTTAAAGTGATATTAAAGGATTTTTTTTGTAGAGACAGGAAGTGAAAGGAGTTGTCCTACTGAGGCAGCGCTGGAGCGGTGATAGGAATCAGTTTAGGGATGGTGGTGGGTAGGACAGATAGTGAGGTGTTTTATATCTAAATGCAAAGAATGCATTAGTTGGAAAAAAAATTGAAAATTTGTATCAAATTCCCTAATTTTTCTTTCTTGGAGCCAACATGGCAGCATACCCGTAATAGAGCTCCACCTCGATCCATTCCCTCAGGACCAGTGATTAGAATAAAAGAAAGAATCCTAACCCCTTCTCCCCTTCGATTCTCTGTAATAAGCTACAAACCAAGAGTGGGACTGTATGCTGCCATGGATTGGCACCAGGAAAGGAAAATTACTGTAAATATTTGATAGTCAGGCAATCCCCTGTTGATCCCTTCAGTATGACCGGAATGATGGTAACTTTAGCCAGACCTCTTCCACCGCTCTACCGACACCACTATTTCCACTCAGAGACATAAACCAAACAGGCTCCATAGTGCAATATATCCAATTTAATTAAATAAAAACACAAATACCCACTTACATGTAGGATTGGATATATTGCACTATGGAGCCTGTTTGGTTTATGTCTCTGAGTGGAAGATAGTGGTGTCGGTAGAGCGGTGGAAGAGGTCTGGCTAAAGTTACCATCATTCCGGTCATACTGAAGGGATCAACAGGGGATTGCCTGACTATCAAATATATAAGGAACTAATAACTGAGGACAAATTCCTGAACTATTCACTATTACTCCTTCTTCAACAACACAGTCTCTGTTGGAATGCTAGCCAGAATCTCCCAGTTGTACCACCCCAGACCCTAGATGAACTCCTCTTAACCCAGCAATCTGGAGACTTTCTTCCTGAGCAGGGGAACTGGCTCCTGTACCTTTAATTGAGGTGAACAATCACTAGGTAGGGGGCTAATCTGGTTTCCCACCTGAGTGTTCCTTCCCTAATCCACCCACGGGGTGCAGGTGTACTCACTCAGATCCTCTCCTGTACCGCTTCCGGGATGGCTGTGGATACCAATCCTATCAGCTAGGCTGCTCCTTCCCTGCCATACAGGTGGTCCTCACTCAGGGGGCCAGTGAGTTCTGTGTTTTCCTCCTTTCCGACTCCAGGTTTGCAGGCAGGCCCATCCCACTAGACCTCTTGGCAGCCTTCCTCCTCAAGCCTCACTTCTTCCTACTCCTTTTTCCACCCGACTCTTCACACTCCTCCACCACCACACTCCTGCTGCTGAGTAGGCTTACACTTATAAGGGAGTCCCAGCCCCTTGCCAAGCCTTCTGTTGGGGATTGGCTGAGGTCCCTCAAGAGTGCAGCCACCACTCCTCAGATCCACCTCT